ATGTATTCGCAGGCATATATTCACACCTATGTTTATCGCAGCATTATTCACGGTGGCCAAAGCATGGAGACAACCAAGGTGTCCTTCGATAGAGGACTGGGTGAAGAAGATGTGATACACAATGGACCCCTAATCAGCCATGAGAAAAGACAAAATATTGCCATTTGGAACAACACGGATGGACCCTGAGAATATTATGCTAAGTGAAATAAGTCAGGCAGAAAAAGCCAAGAGCCATATGACTTCACTCATATGTGGGATATAAAACTGAAACTCGTGGACACACACAGCAGTGTGGTGATTGCCAGAGGGAAGGGGGTGGAGGGATGGGAGGGCAAGGGGGCCTAATATATGGTGACAGAAAATGATTTGACTTTGGGTGGTGGGCACACAGTGCAATATACAGGTCTTGTCTCATAGAAATCCACACCTGAAACCTATATGATCCTATTAATCAATGTCACCCCCATAAATTTAATTTAAATAATAATAATATATTTTAAAAAACACAGTATCTGCGAAATGCAATGAAATGAGGTGCAATAAAACAAAGTATGCCTGTACTTCCTATTAAAATCTTATTGGGAACCCAACAGGTTGAATGAACAGAATACTCTGAGTGACAATAAAATAATGTCTGTAACACAGAAGCATTCTAGAGAAATCTAAATCAGCTAAAAAATAAACCACAAAGTGTTCTCAGCCTCAGGACTAAATACCACTTTAATTAAGCAAGCCTCTCCACATCATCTTTCCAACTATAAAGGTTAAAGAAGGTAAAGGATCTCCAAGAAATGGCATTATTCCTCCAGTGGTGGCTTTATTTTGGTAGGCCTGTCCCCTAACAGCATGCCAGAAAGAGAATGAATGAGTGACTGCAACCTGGAGCCCATCTTTCTAGAAAATACATGTGTTTGGGGCTGGGGATGTCTGCCCGTGAATGAGAGCTGCTTCTCTAGAACTCAGTGTGAACCATTCCAGTACACCACTGCTGTCCCGCAGCTATTCAATTAAATATTCAGATTCTAGAATCTGTCTCAGCAAATAAAAGCTGATCATACCTGTTTTTTCTTTTGCTTCTCACACCTAAAAATGAGGCAGTATGAATTCTATCAATTAATTGGGTTTCATGCAAATCACCTAAAATTCTTCTTTGCCTTTGTTTCCTTAAGTGTAAATGAACTGAGCATAACAACTAATGACTATAATGGCTAATGCCCTACCTATCCCACAGGATGCTGGGCAGAGAAAAGGACTCATTTATTAATGAGTTCTGTGGAAAAAAGTTAAAAGGACTATGTCAATTCAAAATATCACTTCTTAACATTTATCCTGATTTTCCTGCCCAGCACTCTATAGTTTACAGAGTCCATGCTTGATCTTATTTAATCCATAGGTAACAAAACTAGGAAGGGATACAGCCCAAAACAAACTCACTCAGTTCTTTGGACTCGTAGGCTAGCGCTCTTTCCATTAACCAATAGCTGCTTCGAGATTCCTATAACGTAGTCTGCGTTGGGCACAGTATAATCTTTTTTCCCCCTAAATTGAGATTTGCAATTCATTTACATGGCCAGCTAGCTTCAGGGAACTCTATCCTGCTAAAGCCACTTCATCTCCAAAGTCCTCAAAGCACAGTGTACAAAGAAATGCACTCATGAAGGAAGTGTTTAAGAATGCATTCACAATAGTATTTAACTATAGCAAAAACAATTATTTAAGCTTTATTAATGCTAATCTTTAACATACAGACTGACCTAGCACTGTTACTGCATCACTACTTCAGAAGTCATCTATCTCATGCAATATGTGAGATTTTTCCAGGAACCAGTGGAAATGCCATGCACAGTTCAGACATTCATTTTCTTTATAATGCATGCCATCCATTGGACAAAAATAAGCCTGTTAATTGCTATAAACTTTACAGTTCTTAGTAAAGACAGGGAGAATGACCATGAAAACCTTTGTTCTGCAGAAATTCATTGGTTATCTCCTGGGGAAAGGCCTAAAAAGAGATATTGAGCATAGAGGAGATACACATTTTTATTTTACAATGTTCTATGATTAGCAATGGCTGGCAAGAGTTTACTAACTAGAACTTATTATAAAAAACAAAATAAAACAACAAAAATCCATGTAATCTGTGCCTTAAAGGTGAAGATGGCAACCTAATAATATAGAGTGAGAAAGTCATTGCCTTTCTTTTTTTTAAAGAATAGTTTACTGATTTTGAGAGAGAGAGAGGGAGAAGAGAGAAACATCGTTATGAGAATGTGACTAAGGTAGGCTGCATCCTGCACAGCCCCTCACCAGGGATGAAGCCCAAAACCCAGCCAGGTGCCCTGACCAGCAACCTTTTGGTGTGTGCGACAGGATGACACCCAACTGAGTCACACCAGCCAGGGCAAGTCATTGCTTTTCTAAAGAAATTTTTGCCTACAATTATTTTGAAAATGCATGACTGGAAATGATTCCAACATTGTGATTTTATTATTACCAAAAACAATGTGTTTCACCTATAAAAATTTGTCTGTACATTTGAAAAACTAGGATTCAGAATTTTAAAATGTTTTAAAATTCTAAATAAAGCTTATTAGTGGATTTGGACCCACTTATTAAAAATATAAAATGCAACACCTTCCAATCACTCATGAAGGACTTGATTGGCTTAAGATGTAAATAAATGTACTAGTTGCATTTAAATTAAAAACTTTGCATTATGATGATACTGGGAAATGAGTATCATAATTTAATAAATGCAATCAAGGATGCACTTCTTCCATTTGAATCTACCTCTTTGACAAGTATCTTTTCTTTATGACCATTAACTTTCACAAAATAAAATTTTTAAAATGTACTTCATCTTTTTTCCATTTTTAAATATTTCTACTCTTGGGCATGTTTTATACAGTACATAATAAAATATATGTAAATAGTTTTTAAAATATGACATATATTAATAAAGCATGGTATGAAAAACATTTGGCAACCAGTGGTAGGTCTATGGCCACAGAAGTGTCCACATTTGGGAGCATCATTTTGCAGGTAGTATGGGAAGGAAATAAACAATAGGTCAGTAGCAATTTGGACTGTGATGTTTCTGGCCTAGGGGTTGGCAGAGATAGGATGAAGGCAGCAAGTCTTTCTTTTAATTGCCAGCCTGCGCTTGGTATAATTTAGGGGAGGCTCCTGATCATGCCAAGTCCTCAACTGATGCTTTAATGTTTCTTTTTCCTCTTGCTATTTGCAAACCCACCACTTCTAACACTGCTGGGGTCACTCAGCTCCCTCTCTGCTGCTCATGAATATGTGTTGGTAAATATACACACGCATTTCATCCAAGAACAATCAGGGTGGTGTGGAAGGGGGAAGACTCTCAAACACACCACTGCCCATAGGGCATTTTCCTAATGAAAGTTTCCTTTTTGCATTAATTATATTTAACCATTACTGCTTGGGACCTTCTGATAGTGTCATGTTTCTTGGAAAGATTTAGAAACTGATTTTACAAGACGGGGTTATGAAAATATAACTGTCCTTGAAAGGCCTTTCCCATAGAGTTCAAAACACTTTACACAGTCCTGTATCAAGATGCCCAAACCAACCAAGCGAAGGTCTCTTTCCCCGGTGTCGGTGGGTGTTAGAGGCGCGGAGGGCCCCCTAAATGGGAGCAAACAGTCCAAAGGGCTCCTGACGCCTAGGAACGAGGCCGCGACGAATTTCTGAAAAATTTGAAAATAAAGGTGGAGACAGGGTGATGCTGGGGGGACGCCGAGGTAAAACCTGGAACGTGGGCAGGGCGCCTGGAACCCAGCGGGGATGGGACAAAGGTCGGGTCTTGAGCGCGGGGCAGTGAGAGGGGGACCAGCAGCCAAGGGAGGGCACCGAACGGCGGCAATGGTGGTGGCGGC